CTACTACTACTACTACTACTACTACTACTACTACTACTACTACTACTACTACTACTACTACTACTACTACTACTACTACTACTATTACTACTTATAATAATAATAATTGCAGGGCCATTCCCTCCTCAGTCCAGCATGACATCAACTGAGTTAATGGAGTGCCCTTAGTTATCTGATTGGCTGTTTTTTAAATCGTTTTCTCAATTAGTCGTGGACCTGATAGGGACATTTGGCTTTGGAAGATTTTATCAACTTGTTTAAAAAATGGTAGCTTTTGCCCTTTCTATAAGGGAGATCTGGACGCCTTCAGATGTATCAACTTCGAATTCTTAATTTGCCCTTAGTCTTAGATGACCGTTGGGACATCAAGGATGGTCTGGCAACCACTGTTCTCCATCTTTCTCAGCAGTTTCAGCCTTTCGGGGGGGGGTTTCAACCAACCTTAAACCTGTCCATCCCGTTATGTTGTCTTCCCATCTCTTTTTCTGTCTGCATTTCCTTCTCCATCTGTGCACATTGTCCTGTAGGGTTATCTTTACATGTCCTGTTGATCTTGTTATGTGCCCATACCAACTCACATCGCGTTCAAATTATGTGTCAAACCATATCAAATACATATAGAGAATTGACGACACTGTATGCATGTTGCGAGGTGGTTGGCGTGTAATCTGGTCTGGTTTTCTCCTTCTTTTCTATCAGATCTTTATTCCTTTCCCTTCCTTCATTTGTTTGTATATTACTCTCTAGTAACGCTTTTAATTTTTGGCCCTTTACGACCTATAAGAGTGCCGTGAAACGTTTACTAAAACTAAAACTGCACTGCGCACTGGTTATGAGGTGCCTGTGTACTGATGTAGCAGGGCAGTCTACATTACGGCTAAATGCCCATATATTTCCTATTCTAATGATGTCCTGGGGGCTATACCAAAATGACGTTGACTATGACCCTGCGATGTGGTTACGATGCGGTCGATTTGCAGGGTAGAGGGGAAAGTAAGGTGAATTGAGGAGACAGGGACAGGAAGGTTGGGGAGGATGGAGGGAGGGGGGATGGTGTGCTGCTGGGGGGGGGGGGGGATGCAGCGGGGGGATGCAGGGGGGGGGTGTTAATCTTTGACATGGGAGATCAATCCATAATCTTCCAACTTAAAACACAACATGTACCCCTCAACCAACATCTCAACCGAATTGGAGTAAAGCAGTCTGCTGCCTGCCCACTATGTGACTACCCCTCAGAGACAGTGGAACATCATCTGTTCTTCTGTAGAAAACTAACTGATTTGAGGTGATGTTTTCTTCCCAAGCTACCCCACACATCTAATTGCCTCTACTCCTCTAGACAACCATTAGAACAGACATGCAGCTATTACCGAATGGCATCATGCAGAAGAGTTAACGCTCAGATGCTACTGGATCGCTAACAACAACAACAACGACATGGGATACAGGAGATGAGCTGGATGTGGTACATTGAAAAAAAGGAGGGAGGGCGATGACATAGTTTCTATTTATATATCTATCTGTTATTTATTTATCTAGAATTCGTGTTTGTATTATAAAGCCAAAGGTCTCCTACTGTTGCTTTGTCCTATAGATTATATCAATCTACTTATTACTTTAATTATTACAAATTCGATGCGGCTTATAGCAATGTTGCTTAGTCTTTTGCATAAAGTTTATTTTAGGAATACTATATTAACATGTGAATTAGCTTTGCTTGTGGGTGCATGTGGGGAGGAGCTGACAAAATTGAAAAGCTTGTCGTTAATTTTAAGATTCCAATTTTTAACTTAAAATTATTTTTTTAAGTAATGTGATCTAGGGTGTACTTTATTTCTTTACAAATAAGGAGTTCAAACCAGGGTAACCCCTCTCTCCTCACCCTCCCCCCCCCCCCCGCTCCCCAACATTTACACACAAACACGCACACGAGTCGAGCTCGTGATTTGTAATCAGTGGTCTAAGTAATCGCCCTTCATTACTCTAGTTGATAGGATGACTCTAAACGTTTAAGGGTTAAAAACAAACTATCGAAAATTCGGGGTTTCTGTTCCCTCTAAACAAAAGCTTAGGGTCCATTCTATTGCTTGGGGGTACTTTTTCTACCTGCTAAATGGAATCATTATGTCCAACACATGCGCAGATCAAAGTATTTTACTGTCCTGCTAATGCTCTTCTCCTCTGTTTAATTGTAGTCATTAGTAACGACACATCTTCCCAGCTATTTGTGTCTACCCCTCCCGGCTGTGATCTACGCCATCTTAGCTCGCACAAAATACCGATCTAAATCTCATGGTTAATTAGCCTGGTCGTCTGGGTATTTATAAGCGATACAAGGATTGTCTTCTTGCAACATTTTGATTTTAATTCTGCAGAAGGTGGGACCTCGACGGATTTACTTCTTATATTATACTGTGATTTTTATGTTGACTTGTGTTGTATGTTTCTTTTTTGTTTTTTGTGGGTTTTTAAAAAAAATAATTAAAAATTTTTTTTATAGCTGATCATCGAGGTTGATGACAAGAAATCTTAAAATTAAATAACGTATATTCTAGCTGATATGTGTATTCTTGTTAGAAATTAAACCGGCTGTTGTTAAGTAATTCTTAACTTGTTGGTTTCAGTGTTGTATAATATGTAATTAATGCGCTATGAAAAAAAAGCATGAACACCATTTGCCAACTGTAAAAAAAAAACTTTGCTTCATCCAGTGCGCATATATATAAACCTTGACATAGAAACATAGAAAAAATACAGGGTTATAGAGGAAAACCTTGCAATATGCCTGTAAACAAGATAGTCAAAGCTGCTCTCTCACAGAAGCGCCAGTATCTATATTCGTGGACACTTCTAAAATTTTAAAATCTAGAACAAAGGACATGAAATACAGCCTCAAAGAATTTGGGTATCAAGATTTTTATCGACCTCTTTGATTTTTTTTTCTTTTTGT